GAGCTTTACCAGAGATTAATTCTACAATTGCTCAGGCTCACAGGCAGAGTATAGAAGAAAGGCATGTGTATAAACCTTGACCAGTCTTCAGGAAACACCACGTCACGAGAAGTCCTTTTTCTGCACAGAAGAAAAGTCTTCCAGTATGGCTGCAGTGTTAATCTAGACAACGTAATCTATCTTTAAAGTATATAACATGTTAATGTGTATTAAAATAGCTGAGTAAACTTTACTTTTTGAATTAAAAATTTGATTAAACACTGTCTCTTAATGATAAACAGCAAAATTGCTCTAGTATGAATAGTTTCAGTTATCCACGCATATTTTTGTTAATATTGCATTGGGATGAGTTATGAAAGTAATATTTTTAGGTAAAGCAAATTTTTCCTTCTATATAATAGGAGAACAAAAAAGCTACATTCTGGGTAATAAACTGATGCAGGGAGTCTGAATCTGTGCAACTGCCATCTTCATTAACTTTGATGTTCTCTGAAACTTATCACAGTAATTCTAAACTAATAAAACTAATAATAAAATGAGTGTTACTCATTGCAGAAAAAAATATAAATGAGTGGTTAAGATATAATTTTAAAGATCAGAAGAAAAAATTTCCCTGTTGACAACTTAAAAATACCTACCATTTTGGACAAGTGACATAGAAAACCAATGGCAAGATTGTTAAATTAAAATCATATGACATTTTCACAGAAATAGATGAGTCAGTGAAACAGAGTTTAAAAACCAGACCAAGCGTATATTGTACGTTAGTATTTGATAAAGGTGACATCTCAAATCAGTGTGGAAAAATGGACTCTTCAGAATATTTTGTTAAGGCAGTTAGCTGTTTAACTGTTTAAATTTTGTTAGATCCATACCTTGTGCTATATGACAAAATAAATTCTATATGTGTTAAAGATTAAATGTAAAAAAAAACCACCCTGTGAAATTGGTTGAGTAAAATTTGGTACAACCATGTAATAGAATATCATGTACCATTGAAAATGATGTAGGAGTATGATTATTGACATACAACCAAGTTCATGGTATGTTGAGACTACAACATGGTATTTGTAGCAGAATTTCAGATTGTAAAAGAAAAAAAGATAGATTTATGTATTTATGCTTAGGAAAGCGTGGAAGAGGAATTAATGGGTGATTTTTGTCTTTTCGCTATCTTCTGCCACGAACAATGAGCATGTCCTACCCAGTGCAGGATTATTGTTTGTCTTTGTTTTTTAAAATTCCTCGGGAGTAAAAGAGCTAAAGAAAGGACAGCTTGGTAGGAGAAGGGGAAGATACAGTATTTTCCTGAGGGAAAAATGGAAAGACAGAGAAGGTTGGGTGCAAATGAAAAGTGAGGCAGCTGAGGCAAAAAGTAATTCAAAGAACTTCAAAAGCAGTACAGTGTATCATTTCACTAAAACAAAAAGAAAAAGGTGGCTGAAATCTGTAGAACCATTCAGAAGGTAAAGAGTACATTCAGAAGTGGAGAATGAGGATGCTGAGTTTCAAGAGCCGAATGAATGTAACTAAGCAGCTCTGTAAGAGAGGTTCACATACCCAGCTTTAGCTCTTGCTTTTGCAGGGTGCGTGATGCTTTTTTTTTTTTTTTTTTTTGAGGAAGATTAGTCCTGAGCTAACATCCACTGCCAGTCTTCCTCTTTTTGCTGAGGAAGACTGGCCCTGAGCTAACATCTGTGCCCATCTACCTCTACTTTATACGTGGGACGCCTACCACAGCATGGCTTGACAAGCGCTGCCATGTCCGCACCCGGGATCCGAACTGGCGAACCCCAGGACGCCAAAGCGGAACATGTGAACTTAACCTCTGCGCCATCCGGCCAGCCCTGTGCATTATGCTTTTTGAGGGTTTTTTTCATACATCTCATTTGAGAAGGGGTTGTCTAACTTGGTAGTGACAGATACCATCCCATTTTTATGGATGAAAACACAGAAACTTAAAGGACATTTTCTTGGTGACATGGCTAGTTAATAACAAAGCCAGAGCCAAAACCTGCTTTGCTTCAGTCTAGTGAGTGGTCTTGTCATCATACCGTGTTGTCATCTCACTGGCTTCCAGGAGATGTGAGCAAGTCGTGGGAAACATCTGGTGATTCTAGTCAAGCCTGACAAACTGGCTCTGAGTAAGTCACTGCTCTTACCTAGTATCCACCCAGCTTGGACACTACCCACCCAAAACTTTTAAGGCTCTCAAAGGTGAGATTTTGGAAGTGTTGATAAAAATGAATGTTTTTAAATGACCACATTAAAACGAGCTATCATATTTCACTTATCAGATTGGCAAAGATGAGGAACATTGAAACCCTGAGTGTTAGCAAGGGTTCTAGAGAATGGAGACTCTGTGTGCTGGAAGGAGTGTAGTGAATTGGTATATTTATAGAGGACAGTCTGGCAGTACATATGAAAACTTGAAAATTGACCTTTTTCCATAGCAACTTTCCTTCTAGGAGTTTATTCCAAGGATATAATGGAGTAGATGCCCAAAGATATGTGTGCAAAGATTTGACAACTTTGTTGATTTTTAAAGTGTTTACATCTTTTTATATTGACTGAATTTTTCTCAATGAGCACATACTGCTTTTATAAGCAGTAAAACACTAAGAATGCTATTTTTAATTATGGAAAAACATAACCATTTTATCAAGGATTCTTGCATTGCTACCATAACTCCCACTTGATAAGAACTGCAGCCCTAGTGACCCTGGAAGCTACTGGTTTTCTCTTTCATTGCTGACAGACAATAGAAGGAATAACTTCTAGAATCTGTAATGGAGGAAAGGAAGATGGTTTGGGAGACGCAGTGTGATTGGATGGAAAGAATATGGGAATCTGAGGACCTGGGTTTGGAATCTGTCTTTTCCCCTTAGCTAGAGTTGTGATTTGGGGCAAGTTGCTAACCTCTCTAATGCTTGATTTTTTTTTCCCCCCAGCAGTAAAGTGTGGATAATTAAAGCATCTCTACTGGAGTTGTTTCAGTATCAAATGAGATTAGGTTTGTAAAGGTCTTTGTAGATTCTGGTTCGAGAATAATAACAATAATCAACATTTCTCAGGTGGTATGTGCCAGGCATTGTACTTTAAATGGATTACCTCATTTAATCCTTATGTCAGCCTTGTGTGCTTAATGATTATTATCCTCTCTTACAAGTGAGGAAGCTGAGACACGGAGAGACTTAGGAACCTGCCATGGCTGCACTCATAAAGGGTAGAGCCGTAATGGAAGATGATACTTGGGGAGAGATGTAGCAAGAGATCTCTGAGAAGTATTCCTGTCTCACCAGTCGGCCAGCGTTGATTGAGGAAGACAGCAAGAGCGTGGGAAGGGAGGACCCAGTGAAAATAACTTACTAACAAGTGTCTCTTTCTTTGCTGATTTAAACAGCTAAATTATTATGCATTTGGGGACATTGTAGGAAAACAAGATTTAGAAATATTAAGAATAGAGTTTATATGGGCTTAATACTGGCATGGTTTTATTCAATATTTTTAGAAATAATCTGGAAAAAGGAAAACCAGGAAGCCTTAAATAGAAGACGTTTCTTCTGAGATTGGAACAGTAGAGTAGCACATGCAAAGGGAGTAAACAGAACCATGACAGAAAAGCTTCCGTGGAGTTGGTTTAAAAAATGTGTACGCAGAGTACATTCTGAAGATGGGCCTCTTAGCCATCAGTTAACAATATCCTAGAAAGTGATCTTGTAGACATTTTAGATTGTATCTGTCAGTCAATTTACATTTTTTATCTGTCTATCATTTTAAATTGTCTCTCCCTCCACCCTCACCCTCTTTTAACCTTCAATACCCAGAAATCCCAGGTATCACCAGAGAGCATACGTGAAGCAAAACAGAAAACCTGTTCCCCTTTCATAGGGAACATGAGCAGAGTTCTCGTTACTGTGCATTAAGAAAAAAGCCTAATGGAACCAGACGAAAGTCAATGACAGGGCATTAAAATGGTTAAAGAAATGTCATGGTTTTCACATAAGAACAGACTGAAAGGACTGGGATTTGTCAGTAGAGAATGAAGGTTTGGCAAAGATGTAATTACTTTCTAAATTTAACTATGGAGTAAGGATGAAGGGTAGATTGGTCTCTTTACCAAATTCTGTGGCATCCTACCTCATCTTCACCACCCAGCTCTTACAGAGAGGAGGCATGGTCCTGAAGTCAAAAAGGACACTGCCTTTTAAAAGATCATACCTTGTACCACTGACAGTCTGAAATCATTATGATTTTGAGTTACATCCATGCCCTGAACCCCATTCAAACTAGATTTTAAAAATCTGAATAGTTCAATGGCAAGATATTGAAGTTGATGGAATACTGATCCGTGTAATTGTCTTGTTTTCTTCAGAAATAATTGATGAGAGGAAATTGCAAGTAAGAAGAAAAGACTTAGACTTATTATCCAGAGGCTATTTTGGATTAATACTCAAGATGGTTATGTTCTAGGGAGAAATCAGTGTGTCCTTTTTTTAGGCATAAGGAATATGTGGAGATAATTCCACCAGCAAAGATTGTGTATAAATTTTCCAAGGTGGGGAAATGATGATGCTAAATGGTTTTGCTATTCCAGGTCAGCAAGATCAAGACTTAACAAAATATGGGTCTTCATGGGAAGCCTGTGAAATAAATAATAAAAAATATATTTGTGTAGCTATTTAGAGTGTATAAAAATGCTTTCACATACTGTATGGAAGTGAAGCTTGAGCTGGCTTGCTGATGTTGTGTTCTTTGCTTCACAGCTATGCAGTCGGAGTTCCATGATTAATATATTCTAACTCCTAGTTCTTTTCTCAAGCAGTCTCTTTAGTTACTGTTAGCTGTGCCCGGGGTGTCATGATCCTTTGGTTCTTCTTCTTGTACACTACTGTGACTTTTAGGACTGCATTAGCCAAAATAGTTTTGTAGCAATAGAGAATTGTATTGTTGAAGTGCTTTGCTTATTTCTTTCTTTCTTTTTTTTTTCTTTTCCTTAGATCTGTTCTGAGGACCAAGATTCATTTGGGGGATGGTTACAGAATTGAACCATGGTAGGCAATGAAAATATACATTCAAAGTTGAATGAAACATCCATCCTGGAAGGGGAGTAGACCCTTACTATTATATTTAAACTGACTGGCTGCTTTGGTGTATGTCGAATAATTTGGTGTCAGTTTATTTTTTAGGTTTCATAGGTCAAGAGAGTTTTGTTCTGTCATTCTAGGATTATAGAGGAATTAGTTCATAAGGGACTTTGGGAAATGTTGGATTAGGTGACAGTGTGTGCCATTAAGCATTAATGCTGAGACAGTTTCTTAAAGAGTTCTGATGCCAAATCCATTTGGGAAAACTCTGCAAACTGGGTTCTGTCTTGGAGTTTCATAGTACACTCTGACCTTGTTCATTGAAGCATTGTTTGTAAAGGTAAAGTTAGAAACGACCTAAATATTCATAGATAGGCGAGTGGGATCCTAGAATATTATACAGCAGTTAAAAAGGAGTGAACTAGATCTTGATCTTCCAACGTGGATGGATCTCAACATTTATAAAAACATTACAGAATTAGAATGATGCATGTAGTATATCATTTTTTTTAAACTATCTGCTTTTACAAGTATATGTGTATAGTATAAATGCATTTTTTTAAAGTCTAAAAGGATTCATACCAAGCAAGTAGTGATAGTTACTTGGAAAAGTGACTGGGATTGGAGGTGACAGTCAAAGGGTCCTCGTTAAGAAGGGAAATAATTCATGTATAATTTATAATAAAAGTTAACTAAATACAAATAAAATGCCTCTTAAATGCTCAACGAGTTCTTTTCCTTCATTGGAGATGTCTACCTTGCTAAGTTCCAGGTATATCTTTCTGTTTATTAATTTACTGTATACAAGTTAAACTGATTTTTGAGCCCTGGTACAATAGGCTAGGAAGAAAGTGTCTTCATTCTATTCCATTATAATGAAACTATTTCTCCTACATTATCAGGAATTAAGGAAGTAACTTATACAGTCTAGTTTGTGCAAATTCTCAAGAGAGAGGCGTATTCAAGCTTAGTGTGTTTTGGTCCAAGAGGTCTTTAGGAGAGCAACAAAGAGAAATTTGAACTTGGTTCTTGACCAGCTAATGAAGAGTTGAGAAGCAGCCGCTGTAGGTTGAGTGAAACATAGTTCAAAACCAAATAAAGATGCAGACCCCCTTTTGGTCTTTCTGGTGTTGATAATGCTTTTTCCAATTCCATGGATCTTCTTTTTTATCCTGTTCTGTAGACCTGATTTTGACATCTGAATCAAACTTAAGGGCAGTGGTGGATCTATTTGACTTTACCAATCACCAGGGATCAATTTTTAAGTGGCTGCATTTTTGTGTAAATATGTTTTTTCTTTAGGAAAGGGTAATCCTGAAAACATTGTAGCCACACATTAAGTTTTCCATCAGAACATTCACTTTATTCCCTCAATTTCTCTGACGTTGTAAGAGCCATTGTCTGAAAATAAAAGATTTCATCTTCTCAAAGTGTCTCTTCTTTAAAATAATTTGTTTTCAGGCACACATATTGACTCATCTTTTTCAAAGTGGTCATTTTTATATTTCGTCCAAGTTAAAACAGTGACTAACTGACCAATCAACTTTATGCTCAAAAATGTATTAATACAGATTATGAAGGGATTCAAAGTTTAATTCACATTGCAAATGTTTATTGACACCTCTACATCAGAGTATTATGTTAAAACATGTTACTGCTAAGAGCAGTAAATGAGTGAATCAGTAAATTAGTGATCTAATTTTCTAAAACGGTGTTAGCAGGCAATTCATACGCATAATAATTGCTGGTGAGGAAAGATGATTCTGCCACCAGAACACCAAGTGGAAATCAGTACAGTGTAAACTGTGAAAGTGCTAAGCAGAGTGACCTTCAGGAATGTTTTCAGTGTTGGGCAGCCCCCAGGGATGGCAGGGCTGCAGGGCACGATTATCTGGAAAAAAGGTGTGAAGTCTCCTGCATGGTGCCTCCATTCTGCCTTCCCAGATACCTTGCTCCTGGCAGTCACTGAGCAGGTATTGTTCATCATGAGCATGCACTGCTTGCGGGAAAGTTAGCCTTACAGCTAGTGACATCTTGGTGTGATGCATACATATTTTGTGTGTGTGAGGAAGATTGACCCTGAGCTAACATCTCTTGCCAATCTTCCTCTTTTTGCTTGAGGAAGATTGTTGCTGAGCTGACACCTGTGCCAGTCTTCTCTGTTTTATGTGGGATGCTGCCACAGCATAGCTTGATGAACAGTGCTTGGTCCATACCCGGGATCCGAACCTGCAAACCCTGGGACGCTGAAGCGGAGCGCGTGAACTTAACCACTATGCCACCGGGCCAGTCCCAATCTTGGTGTGATTTTGAGGTGGGGGTTAGGGGTTGGGCATAAGGTACAGAAAGTGAAAGAGAGAACTTACAAAGGAGAACTTGAGCACTAGAAGTCAGATTTTGCTTTTTTTAGGGTAAGTTACTTCTAGTCTCAACTCTTAAACTAGCATTATGGTTGCGATTGTTTTTCATTTTCTAGTGCTTGTTGCAGGAGTGTATGTGTCTCAGTTTTTAAAAATATAAGGGCAGGTTTTCTTTAGTTGACCAGTTGGGCTCTTCCCTTCCCTCCTTTGTGTCTCTGGTATAAACACCACCAAATTACTGCACCACCACTTAATATGTAGAATTGATTGTGAATGTGGCCAGAGTCAGTGAATTTGATATCTGTTTATGGATAAAGCTTAAAATTATTCCCTAGTAAGAAGTTTATCAATGTTCTTAGTGATTTGGTAAATAGAATTTAAACCAGCCCAATTCTTCTCACTAAAAAATCACAGAAATGCTTAAGATGTCATTTCTTCTCAGAACAAGAATGAGAGCTGTCGCTTCTCTAGTTCAGCGTTCATGCCATGGAAGTCCTTGGAAGCTGTTTTGAGAGAGTTCTAAACCATGCATATTCCTGTCTTCCAGGACTTCTTTCTGATCAAGCAGACAGTTCAGGATACAGAGTCCAAGGATGAACGTTCACTGTGGCAGTGAGAGTGACAGGTTCCTGCGGCCAGAGGCCAGCTGCCTGATGGATGAAACCTCAGCTGCAGCCCAAGAAAAAGAAACAAATAATCTGACTTCTTCTGGTCTTCAAACCCTTGCTTATCCTCTAGGTCCCAGGAATGATGGTATGGTGATTAGATAGTGACTTAATTTACAGGGATGACACCTGAGCATCCACTCCACCCAGAAGGCAAAAATGTTCTTAATCTAAATAAAATATCCAGTTAATTGGCTTAGCTTACATATCACAATTATAGAAAGCTGATCATCACAGAAAATCTCCACTTACCCCATCAGTGTAGGACATCGAACTTGGCAATAATAGTGTAAGAAAAAAAGTGGAGTCAGAAGACAGATTCAGATTGTAGCTCTGCTGCTGCCCAGCTGTAAGCTGGATGAGATCCTTCATCTTTCTAGCCCTGCTTTCTTCATCTAGAGAACTGGGCTAGTAATATGCTTCCTACCTCACTGGGCGGGAAGGTTATTAACTTAATGGATGTGAAGGCTCTTGATAAACAATAATAATAGCAATTACCATTTATTGAGTATTCACTCTGCTAGGAACTTTACGTGCATGTTTTAGATCAAGTGTGGCAAGCTGTGGCCAAATCTGGACTGCGTGTTTTTGTAAATAAAATTTTGAAATACAGCCGTCATGCCCTTGTGTTTACATTTTGGCTGTAGCTGCTTTCCTGCCACAAAGGCAGAGACTGACCCACAAAGCCCCAAGTACTTACTTTCTGGCCCTTTACAGCAAGTTTGCCCATCTCTGCTCAGTTTAATCCTCCCTTGACAGTTGAGGAAACTGATGCTTCCACAGCTTCGGTAACTCGCTCACGTTCACACTGCTGGGAGGTAGGGGACTGGGGTTTGAACCCGTGTCTTTCTGAACCGAGAGGGGCTGGTATTTTGTGTATGTCAGCTGACAGAACAGCAGAGTGATACCCCTCTCAGTGCACCATGAGGGGAGTTGGTGCCAGGAGTCTTCCTGCTCACCCACGGGAGCAGGCGGAACCCTCGGGGCCTTCAGGAATCCACCCAGTTTAATTGCTTCATTGCAGTTAAAATGAAAAGCATTCTAAAGTACTGGATTAGTGATTTCAGAAGCTGTGGGATGTGCATCCTATGTAGGTTTTTGGTCTAGATCTTGGTTTCCGTATTTTTTTTTTTGGAAGTAAATGGGAAAAAAATTGAGTGTACTCTAGCTACAACTTGTTTGGTTATCTGCGTGCCCAAAATCAGACTCATTTCCCCAGGTCATGGGCAGTAATCACATTCATGGATTATTGTATACAAACTTAAAATGCAAGAGGGGTGGAGTGAGACGTTTATTTGCAGCCTTGTAAGGAAAGAAGAATACTACATTTTATTTTACAGTGTGGGTGTTACTGCCTTTATTCCCCCTCAACACACACGCAGTAGAAAAAAGCGCAGGGGATCCAACATGAGTCTCTAGTTTGTAGTTTTTCTTTACTTGCTCTAGGCAAGAATTTTTGTCTGGGAACACCTCAAAGTTTGGGGTTTTTGTTTGTTTAATGTGTTTGATGTTTTTTAAAGAAGACGTGGTTTGTTTTCCCCCCAGTGCTTTTTGCTGTCAAGTTATTTTGGTTGGTTTATCTGATCTTTTTAGACCTTTCACTCGACCCTGCATCTCAGCCAGCAAACCTTCAGTTCCCGCACGTAATGCCACTTCCCGAAGACATCAAAGGCTCTTGCTTCCAGAGCGGGAATAAGCGTAACCATGACCCCTTTCTTGCTCCAGAACGATTTGGAAACAGCACTGTGGGCTTTGGCAGTAATGTTCATTCCCAGGCACCAGAGAAAGTGACTCTTCTCGTAGATGGCACACGTTTTGTTGTGAATCCACAAATTTTCACTGCTCATCCAGATACCATGTTGGGAAGGTAATAGACGATAATTTCCTTCGAAACTCACTCTGTTCCCTATGAATAGAAATACCTGCTGTTGGATGTTAGCTCAGGGCCAATCTTCCTCACCAAAAAATAAATAAATAAAAAGAAATTATTAAAAAAAAGAAATACCTGCCATTTATCTTACATTAGATTTCAGAATAGAAAACATTGCATTGCTTATTTTTCTGCCTTTATACTTTTGTGAGACATGGAGAGCAAGCTGGTAAAAGCCTTATATGTGTTGGTGACTTTTTTGGGGGGAGTACTTACTTTATTTACAATACCAGTATACTGAAACGAGCCCCCACAAAAGGGGGTGCCATCAGTTAGAACTATGGAGAATAATTTGCTGAATCTCATTCCCTATTCCTCTATAAACTCACTCGAAAACAGAAGTCAGATTCTTTCTTTCTTTTATCCACAATTTGTATAACCTCAGAAAAAGTAATGTTTTCTGAGTTCCACGGGTCAAAGATACTAGGATAAGGTGAGCTCTAAAGTGTGGTTTGTTTTTTTTTTTTTTTTTTTGGTCTTTTGTCTTTTAATAAACAGACAAATGTTCCACATGACACAAGAACAAAGCCATTTTACTGAAAAGCATTTTGCCTGCCATCTCTGCCAGTTATGCTTGGCAGTAGGTGTTATGCTCTCATTTTCTGATGCCGCCATCACAGCTCAAGTTTTCTGAAACTGAATCTTTATATCTGACTGTTTTGTCGTTTCCTGATTGCTCTCTGTTCTTCATATTCTGTGGTGCTCCAGACAATAGTCTTATCCTTGTCTCACCCTCTCCTGCCCCTGGCTTTTTGGGATTAGAGTTTAGGACATGGAAAGAGCCTACTGAGCAGGAGCACTGTCCAGGAAGTACTCCTCGAGCCTGGCTGGGAGTCAGGAGATCCTCCTCCTGGCCAACCGTAGACCTTAACATGAGGAAGAGCAAATTGGGATAACAGTAAAATAATAATAATAATATGGGTGTGAATACACAAACAAATTTGGTCTTTGAGGATTTTTATCTACTTAGAAGTAGATTTTATTTTATTTAAAGACCTAACCTCACTCAAGACTTTGAACTAATTTGAACTGAAGTAGAAATCAGAATGGGCCACACTGATTTGTTGAATTTTAAGTTATGATGGAATCCAGCTATTTTATGTTTATATTTGAACATATACATACAAATTCATGATGAACCATTTTTAACCAGACCCAAACCTATATATTTCTCAGACATCTAAATTAAGATTAAACTAAAACATTAAAATATTTTTCAAATTGGCCCTATATTTTACCAGACTTGACTTCCTCAATCTTGATATCACCACCACTATTGCCACTCCCCACAAAAAATTGTTCCTTGGGGCTGGCTGGCTGTTTGAGATAGGTTGCCTCTGGTAGTAATCAAGAGAAGAAAGGCAAGCATTTTCTGGGTGATAGATTCTTGAGTGACACTGGTTCTTTGAATTTAGGACTGGATTTTCCCATGAAGAAAGTCTGATTCTTTATCTAGGTGGTTCGTCAGCTGAGTCAGCTGAGGTTATGAATTCTGAGAGTTACTTGGGTTTGTTGCATCCTGTGGCTACTACATACGGTGTTCATAAGCCTAGCCAGTAAGCTTAAAATGTAGACCGCTAGTCACAAGGGGGACAAGCTGCAAAACTGAGAATGGATTAATGCACATCCATGCCACTACTAGATAAATAACTCTGAGCTTAGGTCCTCCTCATGATAGATGGGGGCATTATATTTATGGCACGTTATTCACTACTTTCATTCATAACTGTCTTAGCTAGACTTCAACTAGAATATTCCAGAAAAATGTCAGCATTCTTTGAAGACTACCTTTATCAGGATAGATTTCTTATGTATGGTGTAGTGAGTTGGAAAGCATGTGCTGTGGAGTCTTTTTCAGATCTCTGAAAAGCAGCCAATTCAGGGTGGAAGAGAACAGTTTTGGACAGTTGAACAGCAGGCCTTCCCAGCAGGTTAAGGAAGGAAATGGCAGTGAGCCCCCCGGGAATTCCAGTCAAGCTGGCTGAAGATGCCGACTCCCTGCTCTGTCCTTGCTGGCTTCCCATTCCACGACTCATTCACAGAAGTGTGATGGGAGTTGTTGAAGTCATGGGGCCAGCTTTACTGAAGGGGATCTGAGAAAAGGGAAGAAGGATGGACAAAGATGAGTAAGAAAAGCCAGACCTCCTCCCTGTGCCCTCGTGACCTCTGAGTTCATGCCCAGAGCAGGCCTCCTCTCTGAACTGTCAAACTGCTGATGAGCCTAGTTCCCACCCTCCTTTTCCACTTGACTCGAAATGCTCATCATTAGAATTACTCTTTGGATGAAGAAGGGCTTTTTTTCCAGAACTCCGCCATCAAAACGTACTGGGAAAGGGACAGCATTACCATATCTGCACCTACTAATACAGATTCATCTATCAGGTTAGATGTTGAAAAGCAAAACCCAGAAATAGTGAGCACTGGCAGACTGGAGAGGTAAATGTTGGTGGAGGAGGGGAAAGGAATAGGAAAGGGCAGGAGCACCGGCCATGCTGTCTTCCTGGGCTGCCGGTGTGGGGGCAGGTTCCGGGGCAGTGGGGAGGCCGTGAGAGGCAACGCTCACTCCAGAGATTTCCCAAGGCAACTCTGCAGATGCTGTTTGACTTCATTTGCTGTCACAGCAGCTCAGTACAGGTGAGCTTGAGGACTTGCTCCTTCATCCCTCCTTGCACTCAAATGCTGAAAGCAACTGCTGCCCCCTTTTCCTAAGACTTGAGTGTGTCTTACAGGGGTTGGGTCCCTATAACTAACACTGTGAGAGTGGAGTGGAGCCTTCCAGAATGAGGTGAAGAAGGGAGAAGTCTCATTTGTGAAGAATCCTGCTAGAGAAGGTCACGTCGTTGCCTGGGTGTCTTTCAGGATGTTTGGACCAGGAAGAGAGTACAACTTCACGCGGCCCAACGAGAAGGGGGAGTATGAGATTGCTGAAGGAATCAGTGCAGCTGTGTTTCGAACGGTGCTGGTGTGTAGTCGCCTTCATGTTACATCCTCCCCAGGCCCGTGCAGAGTCAGAGCCTTGAGAGTCCCATCAAACTGTTACTGTCTCGAGGGTCTCCGGTTTCCAGTTACTGCCTTTCCCTCTTGATGTTCTATTCCTGTGCCTTTTACATCCTTCTTTGTGTGAGCCCAGTCAGGTATCACGTTGTCATGATTATTAAACATGTCAGGATACCAGGGGCCACTCTGCCGTCCCATGAATCAGCCAACTTGGCGATAGTTCTAGTGACTCATCACTTGGACAGAACCAGGAATGAATAGGGGGTTGAAGAGGTAATGTTTGAATCTTGTTCTTTGCCTACATTTCTTCTTCCTAATCTATTTACAGGATTATTACAAAACTGGTATCATCAATTGTCCTGATGGCATCTCTATCCCAGACCTTAGAGACACGTGCGATTATCTCTGCATTAACTTTGACTTCAACACTATCCGATGTCAGGATCTGAGTGAGTACAGGAACAGCTGCCAGCTGCATTCGAACAGCTAAACTTTGAGTTGCCTTGGAATTGAGTGATATTTTTATTACTAAACAGAGTCAAGTGTGGGTTGAAAATCATCTGAGGGCAGAGATGTGATACTAACTTATTCCCTCTCTTGCTTCAGAGCACTCTGTGAGGAAGTGGAGTAAACAAAAGAGAACGTGTAGTGGGTTCTAAATCTAGCTTGACCGGGAGTCACCCAGCAAACTGCTTCCTCTCTTGGGACCTTGGTGTCTCAACTCTTTAACCAGTAAGGATACTAATTCTCAGCTGTGAGGGAGGGCTCACTAGTAAAGTCAAACAGCACAAACTGGCTGGGTTCTTACAGGTTATTTTTATCGTTATTATTAACTTAGTGTTCCCTAAGTGCTTTATAGATGTGGGCTTGCTTAAGTCTTACAACAGTTAACCCTGAAAGATAGGTGAACACCTCATTTAACAAATGAGAAAACTGAGAAATTAGTTTTCCGAAGCTCTAAGCATGAAAGCTGGGATTAGAACTAATTGTCTGACTATAAACTCCATGCTCTTATCATTACCTAGGCTTCCTGAAATTATTTTCAGAATTATTCTTTGAACTTCATGATACAGTTCCCTGCATATTCCATGAAGTGCTGTGGACTTGTGGTTTTTATACTGGGTCTAGTACACACGTAAGGCAAGTCCTTTGGTGTTGCCAAACTTCAGGTTATTCCTCTTCTGTGGTATTCTGACTCCATGAAATTGGGGCCAGAGCATCTTCAGAAGAGGTACTACAAAGAGTCATCCCCAAATGATGGTCTGTCTCTTGTAGGATTAATGTTTATGGTCTGACCCTGTGTGTCCAACAAAACCTCCATTGATCAGAATGCTCAGGGATTGTAAACCATGAAGAAAGTGAAGAGTGGTGGAATGTGAAACATGTCTAACAAAATCAGCTGAATTGTGGCCTTGGAGCTGGAAACAACCCCTGCTTTTTTTTTTTTTTTTTTTAAGATTTTGGTTTTTTTCCTTTTTCCCCCCAAAGCCCCCTGGTACATAGTTGTATATTCTTCGTGTGGGTTCTTCTAGTTGTGGCATGTGGGACACTGCCTCAGCGTGGTTTGATGAGCAGTGCCATGTCCGCGCCCAGGATTCAAACCAACGAAACCCTGGGCCGCCTGCAGCAGAGAGCGCGAACTTAACCACTTGGCTACGGGGCCAGCCCCCAATCTCTGCCTTTAAATGGGCTCCTTCTGTGGACCTTATCAGTGATAACAGCTGTTATCTCAGGGTTTTTTTCACACCAGGAATAGAGGCATTGGCAGAGAGGATGTTCACCTGCGTTCTCTCCCCCGCAGGTGCTTTACTGCATGAACTGTCTAACGACGGTGCTCACAAGCAGTTTGATCACTACCTCGAAGAGCTGATCCTGCCCATCATGGTGGGCTGTGCCAAGAAGGGCGAGCGCGAGTGCCATATCGTTGTGCTGACAGATGAGGATTCTGTGGACTGGGATGAAGACCACCCCCCACCCATGGGGGAGGAATATTCCCAAAGTAGGAGCCCCCTCATGGTATAGATCTTTTCAGCAAAAACATGCTGCCCAGAGGCTCGGATCTACCAACTAGATCCTAGAACCAATATGAAGATCACTGTGGAGCTGGTGGTGAGCACACTCACCTGGGTGATCAAGTCAGTCTAGTGATGCAGGTCTAACTGCCGTGCTGGGGACCTCCACTGCCACCCCTGGTGTCCAGTACTCAGTACTGAGGCAGCACATTACATGGTGGAGTCCTTCTGCCCTCCATTTGTTTCATTTTTAAATCCTTTTGAATTGTTAATAATTAAAAATTTTAAAAGTACAAAAGGATATACATTGAAAAGTCTTGTTCCCACGCCTGCCTCATCTACCTAGTTTTCCTCCTGTTTCTTTTATATCCTTCCGGATGTATTCACTGCACGTACGTAAGCAATTACATACGTGCTTTTTCCTTTCTTTTCAAGTGAGACCATATTATACAGACTGTTCTATACCATAAAGCTTCCATGATCATTTTTATGGCTGTATAGTATTCCATTGCATGAGTGTGCCATGGTTGATTTAACCAGCCCTGTTGATGGACATTTAAGCTATAAATTATAAATGATGCTGTCGTGAATATCCTTTTAAACAGTCTTTTCACACATGTATATCTCTATATAATAATATTCCTAGAAATGGAATTTCTACATCAAAAGCTTTGTGCTTTTATAATTTTGGTAGATGTTGCCGAATTATCCTCCATAATTTAGGTTGAGCCAATTTACACTCATAAACCAATGTATGACAGGTTTGTCTCCCATACCCTCACCGAACGGTGTTTTGCTAAACTTTTATCTTTGCCACTCTGATATGTAAAAAACAGCATTTGAGTTTTAATTTGCATTTCTCATTTCATGAATGAAACTGAACCTTTTAATTTTTAAGAGCCATTTTAATTTCCTTTTCTGTTAACTGTATTCATGTCTTTTGTCTGTTAGAAAATTGTATTGTTAGTCTTTTAAAAACTTTGTGATTTGTGAAAGCTATTTGTTACCCCTCTCTGTTTATCAAGGAAATTAGCCCTTTGTAATATGAGTTTGCAAATATTTTTCCCAGTTGATTATTTGCCATTTTTAGCTTTGTTAATGGTGGTTTTGGCTAAGTAGAGACATATTTTTATGTAGCCGAGGGTGTCAGTTTTTCTTTTATGGCTTCTAGGTTTTATGTCATACCCAGAAAGGCCTTCCCCACCTTGAGACTGTAAGTTTTTCATATGGTGTTTGCTTGTGGTTATTACTTAACATTTAGTCTGTGATCCATCTGGACTGTTTTGGCATCAGAGTCAGATGTACCTTTCATTTTGGTAGCTGTCTCCTCCATCTTGTGGAGATCTTGCTCTGACTAATACCAGACTTTTTTTCTAGTTCTTTACAGCTCTAAGCTCTACAGATTCTTCAAGTACATTGAGAATCGGGATGTCGCCAAAACAGTGTTAAAGGAGCGGGGCCTGAAAAACATTCGCATTGGAATTGAAGGTAAAACATATCCCAGTCAGTCTTCAGCTTGCACGGCTTTATGGAGTAGGTTGGATCTATGACCACAGCTTATGGCCTTCAAACTCAGCTTCCAGGAGACCTAGAGAACAGGCACACATGGAAACGACCTTCCTACCCAAGTTTGAAGGATTCCTATTTTTTTTTGTTTGACCTTACATTTCCTTTTCATTTTATTTCTGGTTGAAAATGCTTTAAAGCAGCTGTAGGAATAAGTTCCAGTTTACTGCCTCAGGATGAAGAGCACTGAGGGCTAAGGACATTGGTGGGTAAATGTGGCACGGCTCATGGAGCCACTAAGTGGGAGGGCCATGCCACCAACAATCTTGGTGAAGATCTTCCTGGGATCTGCAAGGGCCCTTCTGAAAACTATAGCTTGGAGACTCCGAATTTAAGTTTATTCCACTATATACCTTTGAGGAATATCTGGATGTATGGACAGAACCTTAAACTATCTTGAGCAATGGCTTCCAACCTGTGGTCTCCACGGAAGGGTCTTGGAAACTGATTCTTGGAGAGTGCTGAAGCCATCCTGGTCTCCCCTCCATGGGTCTTTGACTTTTGTGTTTTGCTATTCTTGCTGTCTCAGTCTTGCCCATGAAACCCATCTAACTTAGGTTGGAATTTAAAGTTGGAAGAGATTTTTGAGATCATCCATTAAACCTCTTTCTACTGTGTCCCTCCCTTGTGTCTTTGGAAACCCCACAGACAGGGTGATAGGGATCACTCCATTTCCCAGAGCAGCCCATCAGACTCTTCTACCATGAGAACATTCGTCATGAATCTAGTAGATAACTGCCTCCCTCTTCTGTCTTCCTTCTGGCTCTAGCTGTGAAGTTACTCTGAATAAGATTTCTCCCATTTCCATGTGACAGCCTTTCTGATGTTTTAGGCAGCATCTCTGTTTTTTTCTTTAGGATAAACCAGTCCACATTTCCTTAACTACTTCTCATACAGTATGCCCTCTGAGCAGTGGATCTAGAGGACTGGAGTAGCTCTGCGCCAGCAGGATTTGTGTTCCCGTATTGTGGCCAGCGTCTAAAGGCTTCTGAAATTAATAAGCCTTTCTCTCCCCCTTCCATTAGAAGGGATAGAATTTCTGTTCCTTCCCTTCTAGGGACAAGAACCTGAGCAGGAGGGAAGCGAGCGTGTAGGTGGTTGGGGTGGGAGGGCATGGTCAGAGCCTGGGCACTTTCCCAGTAGGTTTCACACATAGTCTTTGGATTTGGGAGGAAATTGATGTGGTTAGGAAGGAGAAAGTATGGAAGCCAGAGTGAGCAATTTGCTGGAGTCCTGAGAATGGCCTTTTTCCTGTTTCAGGTTACCCTACCTGTAAAGAAAAAATTAAGAGAAGACCTGGTGGCCGATCTGAAGTAATCTATAATTATGTACAGCGCCCCTTTATCCAGATGTCGTGGGAAAAGGAAGAAGGAAAGAGTCGCCATGTGGATTTCCAGTGTGTTCGAAGCAAATCCCTCACTAATCTGGTAGCTGCTGGAGAAGACGTCTTAGAGGACCAGGAGGTACTAATGTACCACCCACCCCAAGTGGATGAACTTGACCGGCTAAATGCCCCACTTTCTCAGATGGCCTCTAATGACTTTCAGGATTAGGGCCAGTTGTGGGTTCACCCCTCTTCAGAGGTTTTCTGTCTGGGAGGCCCACAGCCAGTGCTCCCCGTGGTTTGTCTCACCCTGAGTAGGAGACATGCTTCTCCCTCATCCTTTCTCTTTCTCCATAATCAAAGTGTGTCCTTTTCAGTCAGTCTGTGCCTCTGGCAGGGGATGAAAGCACTCACTGGTAATTAAGCTACCAGCTTTACAGCAGCCTTGGTAACTTGAAAAATTTGGGTCTGGTGCTGTTCACTGAGTCTTTGCATTACTGCAAAAGCAGGAAAAGAAGTCAGGACTCCTCTTGCCTCATGCTCAGCAAAGCAATCCTCATCCTTGACACTTTGTTCCTGGCTTTGTTTTGTTTTGTTTTGTACCAGGCAAATTACTGAGCAAAGGGACCAAACTTAAAAGACAATCTCTGTCTTCTGCAAACAGGCACTAATGGGATGCTCATTAGAGGTTAATGAAGATGCCATTCCTGGTGGCCCGTGTGCCCAGATTGCACCTGGGAAGAACTGGGCCCTCATTCAAAATGTGCAAAAGGAACTTTGTAAGAGCTTCAGTTCAGTTCTGTTTTTCATTAATTCAGTGAACAATCCAACCACACAGAGAGATTCTCTGACAGGAGGGACAGTGGCATAACAATGTTTAGGAAACCTTTTTAGCTTCAAGGTTTTTGAGCCTAAACAAATTGATTATTCATTTGGAATGAAACTTAGAACTGAAGTAGAACTCTCTAAATCAGGCCACTTTGATTATCCTGGCTCGGAATCTAGTATGAAGCCACAGGTCTTCACCCTAGGGCAGCACGTTGCTGTGGGTATCGCTGGGAGACGACAGATACAGCTTAGAGGCATTCCAGATGTGGGCAGAAGTTTCTCACAAGTGCTCAGTTTCTCAGTAGACTTGTAATAAGAGCTCCAGGGAGGAGGGGGCATTTGGGGTGAAGCTGGGTGGGGAAACATCACCTGCTCAGGTTTTGTCCCCATGCAGAATTTTTCTTTGTATATTCTTTTCATACTGTGGAATTTTTTTGCATATCAGGCTATTTCAGTTTTTGAAATAGCCTATCAGCTGCTCACACTGGGTAAGGAAACCATAATAATGTCATCCCCAAAGGAAGGAGGAGTTGAAGGGAGATTAGGCCTAGTAATTTTGTTTGCTCTTCAGCTATGGATTAACAATGCATGATGATGACAACCCAGAACACACTCCCAGTCCCCCCAGTACTGATGACCTTCCCTGATGTCCCATGGCTATTAACAGCAGAGCAAAATTTAGTCTAGAGCCAGGTGTAAGTGTCTTGGGATTATCTCCCATTTTGTGGTAGAGCTTGGCCTTCCAGGTACCTACCCAGAGCATTTACTCATCACAGATTATGAAGAGGCACATAGTTTCCTTCAAGTTCTTTAAGATGAGAACATGACTGTTTTCTTAAATTCCATTCCCGTAAGATACTATAAGGCAAGCTACTTGATTCCATTTTATGACTGCCCTAGTCACAATCCTCCAAAGGTAAAGTCAGATGGGTGATGAAAGCTATTCTTTGCAGGCTTGAACAAGGGTTCTTAAGTGTGTTCTCCGTGCGTGTGAACAGCATCACAGTGGAAATCAATGCTCTGTTCCTTACGCAGAAAAAGCCCTAGTAAGGAGTTAAACTGAGCCAATTCCCACGTGCAGAGTTCTTCTGATTACCATTGGCATCCATTTGTAAGGCTGATGGCCAGGGTTAAGGTTTAGGGTTATTTTGTAGCCAGAGGGTAGTTTTATTTCTGTGAAACTAATGGGCTCATATTTGAGGTCAGGTTTGGCTTTGAGCTTACCTACATTCATACATTCAACTAGCAGTTGACCAGTCCAGGTGATTATTTAATGGTGCTTCCTCTATGCTTTTCAGTTGACTCCCATGCCATCACAAAGGAAATTTGAATTAACTATGTAGTCTCTGACAAGTATGTGTAACTTCTGTTATACAGCTTGCGTACTCTTAACATTCAAGTGTAAACATGCTCCAGCTAACACTCTAAAACTCATTAGTCCTTGCTTAGGTCAAAAGCCAGGTATGAAAGTATGGCATGTAATTAACAAGTTGTTCTGTGTGATTAATTTCCTCAGGCTGTCAAGAACTGGGTCTTTTTTCCTTCCAAATTGGGTCAACATGCTTTTGGCCCCAAACCTTGGAGTTTGAGTGAGCTGGGAATCTGTGGAGGTAAATGTGCCAGTGTCACCAGGTGGTGTGTCTGAGGGAGAAGCTGGCCCACAGGTTCCTTCCTCCCAGCCTGCACTCAGCAGCACTGTGATTGGATGGTTCCCTTCAGCCACAGCTGCTCTGTCCCCAGGGCCAGGACATTCCGCAATGGCAGGACCTCAGTCCTCGCAGGGACAAGGGCTGGATTGTGCCCATTCCCTTCAGAGTCAGTTACTGGCCAGATGGGCAAGAGGTGTTTCTAATAAAAAAGCTGGAACTCAGGTCTGGTGTTTTTTCTAAGTGCCTAAAAAGTAAGCCAGGCTGCTTATACAGAAACATTTTCACAGGAAAATGGTTTTAACTCAGGCTGTCTTACTCAGAGGTGTCTCAGCAAGCCAAGATGAACCTGAATTTGAGGTTTAGAATCTGAGTGTGTGTCTGCATCCTGTCACGTACAGTTCCTTAGGAAACACTGCCACTGAGGAGCTGGAGAGCAGCAAGGAGATGGCGTCACACTGTGTCTCGTGAGATTACTTACTGGTTTCCCCAGCGTGGAGGAAAGGTGTTAAAAGGATGATAGCTAAAGGGTAAGGAAACTAGAAAGTAGTTGTATTTACTGCACAATATGCAATAGCCAATATTATTTTAAACTAAATTCCAGGAGAACTGTGATACCTGATGTATAGAGGTCTATGAAAGTATTGTGGAGTAAGCCTGGGAAGGGGGAATATATTTTCAGATAGTGTCCCAACGGGTCCTTGTCTAAGTAAAATCAGAGCACAGGCTTTAACTCAAATTGTCAAAATGTGATGTGGAGGCTTTTTAATCGAGTGTCAATAGAAAGTTAAGAATCAGGGGGTATTAGTAATTTATTCAATGCCACTTCTTGCCATCGTTTTGAAATTGTTCAAATGGGCATAGTGAGTTCAGAAAGCAAACCTGACGCCTTCATGGGAGATGGAGCCACATTCGCACTCTGGGTGGGATCACCTGCAGGAGAACGTTACATTTCTCAAAGGCAAAATGCTTGCAGGTTTTGCCCCTTTACTTTGTATTGACTTTTAAAGTTGCACTTGTTCACCTACCAGTGTTTACGGAAACCTATATTTGGGATGCTTTTTCTATAATAATAAAATATTATCATTTGCGTCCATGTTGTTTTTTAGCAGAAAATAAAATTGGAAGTCAAGATGTTAAAAGGGACTGAAAGGAGTAGCAGCCAGACTGCCCAGAACAGAGCCTCCTCCTTTCCCGTGGGGCTGGCCTCGAGCCTGCCTGTGCTTTTCCCACCCTGCTGTTTCTTTAGAGGTCACAGGTTCCAGAGCCCTAATGGCCTGCTTTCTCAAGTTTCTGGTTAACTTGCATTTAAGACCCCTTCAACCCTCAAATCCAACTAAGTAGGACCTCACAAAGCCAAATGTAAATGTGAAGGGTAAGAGGACTCACCAACTTCTGTGTTCTAGTTTTGTTTTAAAGCAAGTGAGGAACCATGGCAGGAAGGAAGGCAGGGGAGACAGCAGGGTGGAGTCCAGGCAGGCCGCTGCTGTGGAGCCTCTTGCTCATCCTTTGGTCTGGCCCTACTCTAGCCAGATGTCTGCTGAGCTCCCTCAGCCCACTTAGCCTAAGAGCTTCCTAGTGATGCTGACAACTTCGAGGGGTGCCGTAAAGCAAGCTTGCGCCTCCCTAGCAGGCCTGCCTGTATCAGCACAGAGGTTAAGAACATGCTCTGAAGACACGGCCTGTTGAGTTTATTCTGTCCCAAGCACTGCTTGGCCACAGGGACACGCTGACTAGGATACAGCTCCTCCCTTCAGGGGGCTTTTCCACTCGCGTGGAGGAGAAATCCATAAACAGTCCAGGTCGTTGGGGAAGCCAGAAAGGATGGAGTAGCCAGGCTTACTGTGAGGAGCAGAGTTCCCAAGAGGATTCTAGGAGTGACACATGAACCAAATTATAGAGGACAAACACTAGTTGTTTCGGATCCATGAATACAAGGAGAGGAAGTATTCCAGGCCAACGCAACTGTATGAGCAAAGGTGAAATAATCGCTGCTTGTCATCAGGGAAAGGGACGTGGTGATGCAGAGATGAGGAAGGACTCTTGTACCTCTGACAAGAGTGTTTGATCTCGTTATATAAACTACTGGGAGCCATAAAGGGTTTATGCAGGAGAATGACATGATCAGATTGGAAATTTAAAATTATTTCTTTGGCAGCAGGAAGGATAACACTTGAAAGGGGAAGGACCAGGGACTAAGAGGTCAGCTAAGAGATCACTGCAATGGATCTGGCAAGGAATGATGAAGGCACCAGGAGGATGGCTGGCCATGCTCTGGAGTTGTACATGTGGGTGCGCCAGTTGACAGCACTGTTGTCAGCAGGTCTCCCTTGGCCTTCCTGCAAAGGGACAGCCCACTGCCCTTTAACACTGAGCCAGGCGGAAAGAGCACATACACAGGGCCAACAGAAGACTGTCTCTTTATATGGACATCCATTCAGAAGACTTGTTCTCAGGGAACAAAACCGCAGGTCCCAGCTTCCCTGAGACAGAAAGGCACTGTGCCTAAAGCTGGTGATGCAGTGTTCCAATGGTTTGCAGACAAAGGGGATAAAAGAAGCCACCAGCACACCACCTCTCTGAATCACATCTGCTTTAAAACACATCAGATTTACACCATCATTTTCACGCAGTTTATTCAGAAGTTTCAAAGTTAAAATGTGGGCATCTCCCCCTAAAACAAACCATCCCCTGCCACTCCCTAACACACAGACTGTCACCACTCCTGTTATTCTCAAACTCTTACAGGACACGGGGTCATGACCCCAACTATTGGGTAATACAAAGAAACTGCCAAGTTGCACAAAAGAATCGCATTTACTTCCTTTTCACTAACAGACCGTGAATGAAAGATTAAGGGGCACACACATTACCTTCATCCAGAGTTAATACTCCCCTAATCATCTTTTTTCTTCCTCTAAGACATTAAAACCCAAAGCAGTTTGACTTACTGCTATAACTTTGATATACCATTTTTCTTTTCTGAATGGCTAAGCTAGGGTATACTTTCCTTTCAGAGCTGCTCTTAACCTCAAGCCTGGCAGAAAGCAGTCCCCCAGTTATAGCTTGGCCGTCACACTCTGCAACAAAGTTAACACACAGGTGCAAATGATGCTTTAAGAGTTATCAAAATTTTAAAAAGTAATAATGCATTAATATGGAGGCTCCATATTTTTCTGACACAGCAGAAGTCCTCTAAAGGTGGTGGCAGCTGTAAAAGAGAAGGCACTTTGTGCTAAAATTCAGAGGGTCTCTCATGAGGGAGAGCCACAGCAGAGAGGCCTGGATAGTCCAAGCTGCAGGCGACCCTTTAGGGTAGAGAGGAGCATCCCCCAGAAAGGCATCTGCAAACGAAAAATCTGTAATCATGATTCCAAGGCAAAATGGTTACTTAAAGTCGGGAGACGAGAAATACCGAGAGAGAAGACAAAACACAGTTGCACCCAGGACTGAGAGTGGACTTTACAAGGACTTGTAGGCTGGCTCAGCACTTTCTATTGGGCTGGTCCTTCACCACTTCCCAGGAGGTTCCAGAGACGGAGCAGCACCTTAGCCAAGCGGGTTCCAGGCCGCCTGCCTCTGCCTGGGCTCTCCTTGCTGTGTTCCCAGGAATAAACCGAATTCCCGTCGGCAGCACTCGGTATTGCTGGTCCACGGCAACATCCGTCTAGGGATTTTCTGAGGCAGCCGTGAAGAGGGTCTTCCACGTGATGCAGGACTCCTTGGCAACGCCCGGCGGCTTTTCGGTCTTCTAAGAGTAGCAATGGATCAAGCGGGTATCGCCCCATCAACACTCGGAAAACAGCATGAGTGTTTAGCTGGGCAGAAGGAAAAAGTCAGCGGATTGAAGGTCTTTATCCTAGTACCATAAATAAAGTGCACCATGAATGGAGGCTATACAAAGCCACTTGCCCAAGGCCGAGGTATGGGGGGAAACTACCGCCATCACCACCCGCTCAGAGGGTGGTGGGTCATTTCCCTCAGCCAGAATGCTGGCTGCTGAGGCTTTCATTATTGCTTTATTTCCTGTACTGTGGAACTTTTAGCTGTAAAGAAAAAAATACCTGGTGGGTTTGGCGGAAAGCACGTCACGAAATGACAGGAATTGGCTGATATTTGATAAGTATATGTTACAATCTCAATAAGGTTGAATGATGGCTGTTTTTTCCCCTTCCTTCTGATGAACTTAGGAAAACACAAGGTTTTCAAAACATCTATCAAATTGGCTCGTGATGCTTCTGAAGAAGCAGGACAGCAGTTTATGGCCAATGTAGTAGAGATGGTTGTCTTTGTTCTACAGGTTTTCAGATGCATATGGAAGAGAATCCACTTACTATCACATTTCAGGCAAGTTTACCATGACATATTGGTAGGTTCCATAAACTTCTTGGAAGCTCTTTCAAAAGAGTGTTTGAGAGGAAGACCGTGATGTTGCACATTTAGGACTCCGGTTCAAGCGTACTATTTTGCTGCTTTCATGTAGGACGGTATTGCCCCCCGCGCAGTCAGGCCCTCAAAGCGCTTGTACGTGTAATTGATGAAGACCCAGTCTTTGTTCTTGTAGTCAGTCTCAGGGTGATTACTTGTTGCCACTGGGAAAGAAATAGACGTAAGAGATGGTTCACTGCCCTACCCAGACGGACTACTCAGAACTGAAGGCAGGACATTCTGAAGAACACACCTCAGTTTTTATTTGGGAAAAGTTGCTTTTCACTCTGCGAATTTTCTACATTTGCTTGCCTGTGTTCTTTGAACCTCATTATTTTTCATAAATATTTTTAAAGTTTTCTTTTCCCATTTGTGTTATCTCACGTTACCTAACCTTTAATTCAGTAACAACAAAAGAACATCTTTGTGATTTACCCATCACGTTGAGTCTAAACATGGGAGTTTGTATCCATTTCCCACTCGACACGGTCCCACTGCTACCCAGTATTAGCACTGGAAAAATACTTACAAAGAACCCGAGGAACTGAGGTTCCCTCCATGTTCCCTATCCTAATTTGTAAACATCATCCTAAATTGGGAGGAAATAATGGACTTATAAGGCAGCGGGAGGCAGTTAGGTGGTATTACCTGTTGGCTTAAGAATATCAGATTCTGGAAACTCATCGAAGTTTGAGGTATCATCAATGCTTTTGATTTCAATAGATATTGCAGCAGGCCTCTCTCTGCCAAGAACAGACATGCCACACATTACTATGGTTAGTAATCATGTGATCATAACTAAGCCTTCTCCAGAAAAGACCCCTGGTCTGACATGAGAGGACTATCCACTGGCTGGCAGCATTTACTTTCTCTGAAAAGCTCATGACCACTGACCAACCACGCCAACTGACTACATCCAAACAAAAAATAAGTTACGATGAAAAAATATAAATATTCATAGCTAAGAAGAAAGACAAAAATAATGAGAAATTTAAATCCCAAGTTACTGCACTCCCCTTGATGGCCTGCCCTGTCTGCTAAAAAGGGAAACTGAACCTCTCAGTGTCCCCTCACGGAGGGCTCTGGCCTTCTTCTACCAGAGGCACCAATGAGTAGGGTGGCTAAAAATGCAGCACACGGGAGACAAAGGGAACAAATCAGAACACGATTATCAAAGAGGTGACAGCAGTTTCATCTTCTGTTTAGCAACCAATGAATGCTGAGTAAGAGGGTCTGAGACACATCAGGTGGTACGGGCTCTCGTCACCATTGACAGCACTCTACAACCCCCGCCATGACAATTTTCACTCTCCCTCACCACTCCCCGCCTGCACCACTGCCCACCCCAATCCTTCTTCCACTCCTTTCTTCCTTCTCTCTCTCCCAGTGATAGCCCCTACCCTGTGGGCAAGGACAGTCCTGCTGGTGGCCCCCAACAGCAGAGAGGTTTGTGTGTTCCAGGTAAAAGCAATGGCAACCTGCTTCTTAGATGCTCCCTTCACCATGGGACCCAAAGGTCACTTCCCTTTGGAAATAACTGCGGGCTTCAACATATCCCATGGCACATGGCCGACAGGAAGCCTCAACTCTCAATCCTCACCATGAATGAAAATCAAGAAGAGAACCTGAATTTCTAAGCAGCTCTCTTCTCTTACTTGGCTTA